ACATTGTAGGACTATAGTCCCATCAGAATATTTTGATAAACACATTGATACAACAAAACTGATAGAGATTGACAGGACTAAAGTCTTTACATGGCACAGATTAAATTCATACCGGTTTTCAATATTTGGACACATTACATTGATGACATTGACATTAGCAAATTATACATTGTATATATACAGTGGAAGTGAAGGCATCAACTGTTTTCTCAATAAGAGGTATAACTTGATATATGGAAAGTTTTAAATAAAACTATTGCGAGCAAACAAGGAAACATCTTTGGTTATAAAACTCCTTCATGCATTCATAAGGTCAATTATGACCAGCTTGTTAATGAACTGTGGGAAACTGATCTTACTAAAGATGACAAAAACACACTAGGAACCATCACCTGTGGAATGCTATAAACATCACACACACCGCACAGAAGAGTTACTGTTTTAACACTTTGAGGGAGGCATGCCGTTGCCAGAGTGAGTTTGGAGGAAGGATTTATGCCATACAACAAGAAATATAAACAGAAGAAGAAACATACATGCAATACCTATTCCATCTAAAACACCACCAATAGAAATATATTAGTCAATGGTCTTAGAGATACAAACGGGTTACTACTTCAATATCATGACTTTTCAATGTATGAAGCATATAATAAGCTTTCAGAAAATGATATTAAGGCCTATTCAGTGAAGAGTGATGCCTTCACGATCCATAAAGACAATTTGACTTGAGTGATGGGCAAACCAAATCATTTTATCAGACTGGAATATTGATATGATATGATCAATTGTCATGCACACAAATAGTTCTGTAAATTTACGTGTTACCCTGTGATATTCACAATTATAAAACATGCAGGTCAATGTTCCGGTTGCGCAAACCCAATGTTTGTGACTGTCACAAATATAGAATTTTAAATTCCAATTTTGAGTTGTTTAAATGTAATGTCACAGTGTAACAAAGAACCAAGAACTCATATAATCAGTTGTATTCATCAATTATCATACGTGCATTTGCACTGGGTGCAACTGACAGTATGAATTGGAGTGCTCATATATAAAATTGTTCACTGTCATGTACACAATTTCTTCTGTACATTGTTATGTTTCTTTTTGTGGGGTCTTCACACTTGTGCACCATGAAATTATACAATACTTTGAATTGCAAGTCCAATGTAACAAATTGAGTTGACAATTTTGAAATTCACATGATCAATTATATCCATTAATTACTATATTTGCAATTGCACATTGCATTAGATACTACTAACAAAATGAATTGGAATGTATCGCAAAAGGTGTGCATTGGTGGGGGGGGGTAGCTTTTATATTTCCCCAGATAGCGATAGCTATAGGGATTCTTACTTCCCAATGACTGGGCGCCTGCTTGAAATAGTTGCTATCTGGGGGTCACGCTGCCGGTGTAATTTTATTATCTCAGACTTTCGATATAGGAGACCTCACCGAAGATCGACCAAAGCCTGCACCCCAAGAAGGCGTCTGCTTTGTGCAGTCCGTTCTTTGAACGCTCGTGGAATGCGTGTTTGTTTGTTTTCTTTGCAAGTTTTGTCTGCCCTTTTCATTCTTTTTGCTTGATCGGATTGCTCAGAGATGGAGAGATGGAGAGTGAAAGCTCTCAAAGCGATAGACCAAGCTCACTAAGCTCACCGGTTTGAGGGACAAGCTTGTTTAGAAGCCTGTGAGATGGCTCAACAGCTTGTTTAGAAGCCTTCTTTTTTGTGGATGTCACACTTTTCAGAGCTTTTTTCAGGCGGCGCCCACCAAATACCAGGCGCGGGCGGAGGCTGCAGAGGCTGAACTGGCAAGGGAGGGCTGCTGGATCAGCGAAAACGTCGCAACGTCCCAACGCAGCTGACCAGTACACACAAAAAACCGAATCGGTGGTGTATCCCAGTCAACCTCAGTCTACCCCAGTCGGTGGCCGTCGGTGAAAGAAGAGGATCACTCTCTTGGGATTTGCGGTCTGCAGCATCCACTGGGCCGAAACGGGACATACCATACCCGACTGATGATATTTCAAGCCTCCATGTCTGCAGGGGTTCTATCAATCAAGATTCTACATTTGCCGGTTGAAGCTCCCCAAAGAATGGTCGATCCAAACTGCAGGTTCACATGGGTCACTTTTTGCCGAGCTAAAGGCTCATGTTGGCAAGCCGGGATCTCCTTCGGCCGCCAACAAAACATCAACAACCTTAAACCCCACATCCTTGTCCTTTGGGATTCTTTTTTATATCTGCCCGTTCATGTCAGAGATGCCTCTCCAAACGTTCTGCAGGGTCATAGATAGGTTACCCGCTGGCCGATCTTTAAAACACATCAACGCGATGAGCAGCGGCAGAAGTCGGCGATGCAGCAGCTGGTGTTTTGCTCCAAGTCTGCTGCTCCAGATCCTGTACTGATCCCAGTCTTTACCTCCTTTGGATGACCGCCATGGGCAAGTTCGAACGGAGTAAACAACCCGGGACGTTTAATCGGGAAGAGTGACAACGTCCAACATGTGTCGTTTTGTCGTTTTTGATGTTTTAACCCTAGAGCTCCTGGCCCACATCCTCAGAAGGTAGACTCAGACCCCTCTGGCACCCACCCCAACCAGCATACTTGTACCTCAGGAGGTGGGCCAGCAGCCCTAGCTTAATGGATGCCGAGTTCCATTGCCCCGGCATCACACGGCGGTGAAGCCGCCAGGGGAAGAGCCTCCTCGCCCTGGCAGAAGCCAAAGTTCTCGAGAAAGGTCGGTTTGGCCGACGTGGGACCTGGACGTGTGGGGGGAAACCTTTGCAACACCACCCTCCAATGGTTTGATGTTCTTAATTTGTTTGGTCCACATTCGTTCGAAAAGGAACAGTATTTTTCATTTCTTTTTTCTGGGGGCGGAGTAGTGCATGGGGCGGGTCAGCATGGTGAAGTGGTTGGAGAAGGCGCTGTGAACGAGGCCAACCTGAAGGAGGCTTCCCTCACCCCAAAAATGGGAACTCAAATGCAGAGGATGTGCGGGTCTCTAGGGGATATTCGATCGGGAACTCGGAGAAGTGGTTTCCAAAGGGAACCAATATTTTTTTCTATAGGGGTCAAGTTCCAAGCCTTCAGTCTTCATGGTGGAGACTTTCTTCCAAAGGAGCTTCCAAGAAGCCAGAGAACGTGAATGGTTGCTGCAAGGCGGTACCCCCCCGCCTTATTTGTTCATTTCGAAGTAAGCCAACTAAGCATTGTGCCTGAACCGGGCAGACCTTGGGCCACCGGACCTGGGATCGGCCGCCACAGCGGCTGCATGTTCAGTGCATAGCCACACCGGGCCTTGCGGCGATCGTGCGCGAGCAGCAATGCTTCGCAGTCGCACCTGAGACCCTCTTCCTTACCCAGACACGACCAGTCTGGGACTGCCAGGACGGACTGCCGAGAAACGGCCAGGGGTGGTTGACTGGGGGTCAATTGATCGGCAGTCCGACATGGCAGTCCCAGGCAGGTCGTGTCTGGGTGAGCACTGTTCCGGTTCCCCGCTGTTCGCATCGAAGAAGAACCGGTTTGAGATGCCAACCGGGTGGAATCAGGATGCCTTTCACGTACGCCGGTTTCGATGTCTCCAGGTGCACCACAAGCCTTGAAAGAAAGCGGAAAGGCCTGCACTTTGGGTGTGCGTTCCGGTGACCGCTGTGCATGTCACGACGAAAACCGCGTGGACCCGTTCCCAGGGTCGATCATGTGAGCTTGCCGTGATTTTGCGGTCCTTTCTACTGGTTCCAGTCCTCCCCAAACCAACGGAGTGAGACCGGTCCAACCTCAAGAGCCCATGAGTTTCCTACAGCCGGGCTTGACTCCGTGCCCGGACCGGGCAGGTCCCTTCGGGTCCGGACCCGGTCCGGACCCCGTGGCCGCCTCGGCCACCTCGGGCCCCCTGCGGGGTGGGTGGCAAATCGGAATGGGTGCGTGGCAGGATGGTGCCGGGCTTCTGGTGGCTTCAATGGCACTCTTGGCGCAAGGCCGGCGTTTTTCTCTTTGTGACGGGTGGGGAAATTGGGTGAGCTCATTTTCGAGCAACTTGCAAACCTGGTTAGCTAAAGGGTGCTAAACTGATTCTACAATACATGATTCTACTCCTTCCAACCTCCCAAAGCTTCAGAATGCTGCTTGCTCACCCAAGGCTCCCATGACCCAAGTCCGCCCTGTCATTCCCAGCTGCCCAAACTGAACGGACCAACGGACCGGTTTGGGCCGCCCGCACAGGGACGGGGATGGTGTTGCTTCGGTACGCAGGTGACCTGACAGGCGCGAATGAGAAGGCCAAGGCGGCCCAGGAGGCGTTGAAGGGCAACAAGGAGCGTCCAGCTTGACAGGGGGAGACCAGCTGATTGACAGGGGCAGCTGATTGCTGATCGCGGAGACCAGCTTTTTCAAGTAGGATGGTTTTCTCAGATGTTCTCTCATCCCGACATGGAGTTGCCTTTTTTTGTTTGGAACTTTCTGTGGGGTGGGTTGGCCTCAGTCCGGGGTGTTTCTTCCTGCCGTCTCTTTTTCCTGCCGGGCCTTGTTCATTGGGCCCCGCTCATCCCAAAAAAATGGCTGTGGATCAAAAGCCTGGGGACCCTGCTTGACCACGATGAACGGAGACTGGGGAGGTGAACAGGGTCAACCAGGCCGGTGAAGAGATCCCTAGCTCGCCGACGAACGCCGAGAGTTCCGCGCCGCTGCGAACGCGAGCACCGGCCGGCTGCTTCCATCCCGTCCAGGAGCAGGAAGCCTCGGCGCTCCTGGCCTTGGCCCTGACCACCAGCGAAGCCAAGACAGCCTTAGGCCATCACGGTTTTTCTCCTGTGGGCGTTCTGCGGGCGTTCTGTGTTTTCGTTTTTTGTGCGAGCATGCACCAATGTGGGGTTGAACTGGGATGTTGGTTTCAACTTCGACATGCGGGGAGGTTTCGGATTGTCCAGTCCCCACCTTGGTTGTCTCACAGAATAAGATGCATTCCATGTGGAAACAGCAGTGCTTGGCATGGTTTTGCCAGAGGAAGCGTGACAATTCCCAGAAACAATTCTCTGCGGAATCTGAACCCCAAACGATTGGGCAGAGGAGACTTCCCCCAACCCACACGGGCCCGGGCCACTCAATTTGAGGAGAACTGGACTAGGGACTGCTCAGCCTGGAGAATTTTGAGAATGGGGTGCTTCATGCTTTGGTCCATGAAGGCATCCTGAAACTTGCCTCGAAGCCATCCATCCGAACTTGTTTCGCTTCGGCTCCTTCCAGGACATGGGATGGCCGCGCAGGCCGCCTTCAAGGAGGTACCACCCACCTGGCCATCCGAAGTTGGGTCGGTCGGTTTGCCACGTCACCGGATAAACCTGCAGGAGGACCTCCGAGCCGGCTGCGGGTGCTGGGACTTTCCGTTTGGGCCGACATGGGTGGGGAGCCGAAGAAGGTGGCGGTTCTTGGGTCGGTCAGCTGGGCAAGGACTTGAACACGTTGGGTGATGGGACTGGTGACCAACAGAGGTTGAATGACCCTATAGACTATCCCATAGGTACCCCACTAGGGTCCTAGTTCAGGTCACTTAACCTCTCTTAAAAAGACTGAAAGGACTGGTGTCGTTAGAGCTTTCGCCATGTGGACCCTTCCATCGCTTGGACCCTCTTCTCGTCACGTCTTCGTCCGGGCACAGGCACGGAACCTCTTCGCCGGACACCGCGTCGCCGCGAGGTGGGCGACAAGCAGATGGAGGCCTCGGCGTTGACGGCGTTGGCCAACCTGCGCTTGAGCTTGCGGGGGGGGCCCGGTGTGGTCCGGGTGGAAGATCGGAGCGCTGATCTAAAAAAAGGCCTATGGCCTATGAAAAGAAGGGGAGCTCAGACGACTGACTAGGGGACCTGAATTTTTTTCGGGAAGTTCCTTACTTCACACAGGAAAAGCATAGTCGAACTGGACTTCCAGGGTATATGTGAGCCATAATATTGCCATATTGGAGCAACCATTGGTTTCTGGGTATACTGTAAGTGTTTGACAAGTAGCGCTGTTCGTGGGTCAGATGCTTCATGCTCAAGATAGTTGTTGCTGAGTCCGTTTTTTGGAGGGCTCAGACATCTCAGACGTGGAAAGGTGTTTTCTTGTTGGAAAAACATCGTGGAAAGGCGTCAATTTTTTCATACTTCCAGCAATGGAAGCGTGTATGGCAACAAAACTAGGCAAAGCCGGTGGGACCCTCCAACGTGGGGGACCCACCGACCTGTGGGGAGGGTGGCTGACTCCCCACGAAAAGCCCGTTCACTTGGCTTCAAGGACCATTTAAAAGCTGGTTTTTATTTTGTAAAATCCTTAGTGAAGCAAGGGTTATTTGGTAAAGGTAAAGGCCATTAAATCAACTGTGGATGGAAGCATAGTGTATAATGTATATTAAAGATATATACCTGATGATACCTCTCCGAATTCTATCAACTAGTAGTCCAACACTGCTGGAGACCCTCAGCTGAGTCGCCTCATTCCTTATTGGGAAGTGGCACCAGTCAGACCATTTTTTCTCTTCATCTTAATGCCGCGAACCTGAAAGGCTTTACCTAAGGCACCCAGTTTCGCCCTCTTCGTTCCGGAGCCGCGGCGTTGGTCCAACTTGCGACCGAACGAAAGGATCTCTGAACAGTTGAGCACGCCTCGTACGGCGTTGGTTCCGAAAACCCCTATCGAACGGTTTCGAGGATCGATCATGATCCACCAGTCCGGGTTTCCCAAAACCATCCAGTTACCATGAAAGCCTATATATAGCTGGTAACCAGTGGTTCCAAAGACAAGAACTGCAGACCTAAAAGATCAATCCTTATATCGTGGTAACTGGGATCCTCTGGTTTTTTTGCTACCCAAAGAATCCATGCCCGGTTTGGAAGCTTTCCGGTTCAACTACGGGTGGATCGCAGCTTGCGAAGCTGCGATCAAACCAAATGAACATCCCGATGAACGCTGTGAAGGTGTTGAGTCGGGTCCAAGGGTTTTTCAGACTAGCAGAACCCGGCTTTGAGGCTCAAACACGCGTTTCCCTTTTTAAATTGAACATTTGCCATTCTCATTCATCCACCGCCAATCCCATCTTCTACCGGCCATCTGCCATCCGAAAACGGCCAAGGAAAGAACTCAGTGTCGCGGAGGCCTTGGTGAAAGACGCCTTGCGGATCTTCCATGAGCCGCTCAGATTGACAGCCGGGCCGCTGGATGAGCGGGTTCACCTCCCAAAAAACGCTCACCAGGCCGTGAGGGGGCTTTAGGAATTTCTGGAGCCCTCTGCTGGAATTTCTGCATTAGTTGTTTGGTTGACGTCGTTATCGAAGCGAAGATTTGATGGCACACCCTGCCATGAAATGATCCAATGAGGTGCAAAGAGGTCATGCAGATCGTTTCCAGCACATCGATGACCTTATGGACTCCGTATGACGAGCTCACCAGGTCCGGCAACTGGAATGATCCAGTTAGAGAAGCACACCTCTCAGAGGAAGACACCCTTCCACGAAGTGAAGACACCCTTCCACGAAGTGAAGA